ACTGTATGTTCAGTGTCTAATATGCAGCTCAGAATCTCCCAGTGGCTCCCACTACACTGAGTCCTCACAGTGGCCTGCAATGCCCTACAAGAGCAGGTCTCACTTCCCCTTTGGCCTCATCTACTATCCTCTGTCTCTTTCCATTTCAGCCACATGGACTCTTTGCTGTTGGCAAACAGGCCAGTCCCTCTTCCAAGACATATATGCCCTTCCAACATACTTAATCTTTAACACTAGTTCTCTCAACTAGATTGTAAACCCCACAGGGTACAGGTCTTGGTTGAGTTTGTTCACTGCTTAACATTACCACCTAGAACACTGCCTTACCCAGCACAAAGTGAGGGCATAGTAAAAGTTTTAAATGTTTTATTAGCATATATTGTTATATATTAATATAATATCCATAATGTTTCATACGTGTAAATCATTTCAGTCATATATGCCCGCCCTCTATTCCTCTCATCCTTCTCCACTCCCGCTGACCTCCTTCCTCTTCCCAGCCAGGCTCCCTCCTACTTTCACGGTTTTCCTTTTCCTTCTTCCCCTTTTGTGTGTGATACATTTTGTTCATCAGAGTTATTTACAGGAGTGAGGGTGAAAGGTGGGAGCCCCTAGTCCCTCTCTCTTCCATAACATGGTGTTGACAGGCCCGGGCTTGTGCAGGTCTTGTGTAGGTAATTACAGCTGTTGTGAGTTCAGGAGTGCAGCAGTCAAGTCATGTCATGCCTGGGAGTTGGCCTTCCACACCTCTCCTTCCCCTTCTTCCATGATGTTGTTCCCTGAGCCTTGAAGGGGATCATAGTGACATCCTATTTATGGCTAGGCATTGAGCAGTCATTTATTCTCGGTATTTTGACCAGTTATGAGTCTCTACAGTTACCACTGACCACTACACAAAGTGGCCAAAGCTGACAACAGCATTATTCTATTGGGCATAAACAGTTATTTAGAAGGGAATTTGATAGGCACATCATGTCCATTTAGCAAAACAACAGCAGTAGCTTCTCCAGTCATTGGCATCTCCAATATAATTTTTGAATAAATATGTGTGCACTGCTATGTTTAATAACATCAACTGCTTTTTATCGGGCACTTAAGAGTTTACCAGGCATCGTTCTGTTTTTATTTTATCCATTCTTATTCTTTACGGCTTTCCTATGGGAAACACTTATCTTTCTGGTAAGGAGGTACCCCAGGGAGTGTGCCAAGCCCTGAGTCTCTCAGGGACCTATATAAATGTTTAAACATAAGAAAGGTCTTGGCTCCCAAGTGAAAACACTAAAGAATAATCCAAATTAATAATCAAATGTTTATAAAGTATCATCCATTGTTAATGTATGTCATTAATTCCATGTCAGTGTCTTTAATCATTAAATGTAGTGTTCTTTAGAACATTACATTTGAAAATGATTTGTATGTTAGGCTTTTAATGATGTGAACACATCAAGAATGAAAGAAAATGCTGGAGGAGGCCAAGAACTGAATTGCTCTTAGCCAAATCATTCCCAAAGAAAACCTACACAAATCACATCATATTATTTTACATTAATATGTTCCATTTAATGTAAACATCCTCAATTTTAATGTTGAAAACGTGGGGAAATAGCCTTTGACATAATTAGCCCATTTTTCAGTTTTAACTCCAAGATCTGTAGCTCTGGATCGTACTAGTCCACCTTGCCCAATTTCTCCTGGTCAACCTTCCCCCAACTTCCCTACCTACCCTAACCCCCACCAAACCCCACCCAGGCCCAGGTGAGGTAGGGAAGTTTCTGTGTGTGAAGGAATATGGGAGTGACGGGACCAAATGACCTTCCCTTGGGTCCCTACAGAAGTGCCTCACTACCCTCAGTTCCCTTTCTAGCCTTAAAAGCTGCATCTGGAAGAGGAAATCTGTTGACTCTTCAAGCACCACCAGATGGCGACACACACCAAATACATACACACACCCTCCCACACACACCACACCCCCACACCACACACACATACACACACCACACACATACACACCACACACACACACATCACACACACACACCCCACACATACACACACACACACACCACACACACACACACCACACACACCACACATACACACACACCACACACACACCACACACAGACACCACGTTAACACCACACCACAGACACCACACACACACCACACCACACACACACATACCACACACACATACACACCACACACACACCCACACACACACACGAAATACACACACACACGACTGGTTTTGCAGGATTCCTTAGGCAATCCAGACCAGGAGGCTGCCTGCCCTGGGAGCCCTCTGGGTGTCCCTGCCTAGGCTTCTCCTCCTCCCCTAGGGTCACTGGCAGGCTTTGTTTTTACCTGTTCTCAGGCCTAGTGATCTGGGTGTCCATAAGGTTTAAAGTTAGTGAGATGCTCCAAGTTCCCTCTCTTGGGCCAGTTTTTTCATCCTCAGCTCCAAGGCCAAAGTTGGGATGAAGTCTAAGTGGGGGCAAAGACCTGTGACCCTAGGGCAACTCTAAGATCATCTGGCCATCCTCCCCTGGCACCTGACTTCCTCTCCTGATCTGCCCACCTCTCCTTCCTTCTTCCAGGGTTTTGATCTTTCCACACTCTGCCCCTCTGCCATCTGCTCCATCATTTCCTCCTCCTCCTCCCGCATCCCTTTCTTTTCCTCCCTTCCTCCATCTTTCTCAACAAAACCAAGATTTCTCCTTTTTTTTTTTTTTCTGTATGTATGCGGAGCATGTGTGAAGGTACATTCATGTGCATGTAGACGATGAAAATTGATGTCAGGTGTTTTCCTAGCTCTCTCTTTGGGGGGGGGCTGCTAATTCTGGCTAGTCAAGCTAGCTATCTTGCCCCAGGGATCTCATTTCTGCCTCCTGAACTCGGGGATTACAGGTAGCCACCATACCTGCCCAATTTTCACATGGATTCTGGAGATCCCAATTCCAGCCCTCATGCTTATGTAGCAAGTACTCCATCTACTGAGCCGTCTCTCCAGCCCCAAGATGCCTTCATTTTATTCAACAAGTTAACTTTCCAAACTAGTTGCTGGTCCCCATTATATGACAGGCACTGGGCAGACTCTGGGAATCCAGTAGAAGCAGGCTGGAGGCCCAGCTCTGGACAGGCAACTCCCACTGGCTGGGGACTATCATGGGTGAATTCTTTCAGTGCCTGAGTCTCCTTCCTCTCTCCAATCTCCCCTCTCTGCCTTTCTCTGTCTCATGAAGTGGAGGATCTGGGGCCATAAGGATGGGTCTCTCTCTGACCCACCCCCAAGCCTACACCCAGCTCCATTTGGTAGAGTCAGGCTTAGCAGAACACCTAGAAAACCCCAGGATCTTGAAATGCTCTTTAATTCTAAGCCAATCCTGTCTCCTCATGTTTAGGAGACAGTTGGAGAACAAGCTGTTACAAATCCCTTGGGGGGGGGGGGGCGTTAATTTGGGTCTGCTGGCCTCAGTCTTCCCATTTGGGAAGCGAGCTGGTAAATCAGTACTCCCCTCCTCCCTTCCTGTTCTGCACCCTAAGGTTCTCCTGCACTACCCCAACCTGGCCTCACACCAGCGTTTGGTCATCGTTGAAAAAAATTGGCTGTCCTGGCAGGGCTCCACTTGATCCAGGACAGGAACTGAGAATAGGCCAGGAAAGAGCCTGACATTGTCTCCCTGCAGCCTCTGACTCTCCAACACGTAACTCTCCCAATCCCGTCCTCTCTCTCTCTCTCTCTCTGTCTGTCTCACACACACACACACACACACACACACACACACACACACACACACACAAAATGGCTACTATTTCTAACTCCTCCGCACACATCCCTCATACTTCAGGTTCCGGTCACTCAAATTGGAGGTGCAAGTCTGCCTCTTACACCTATGACCTAGCAAGGAGGTCTCCTCTGTCCAGCACCTTTCCTTCTCTTCCCAGTCTACCCAGGGGCAGTCTCAGGCCTCGCCTCCTCAGACAGTTCACCCATGACAGTGGGAATTGCCTGGCTGACCCTTTCAGTGCCCTTACACTCCCTCCCCTATAGACTGCCAGGTCTGCCTGGGAAGCCCCTTGGTATAAGTGTCAGTGGCTGACATAGGCTTACTTCCCACTCATAGACATTCTGAAAAGTTTTAGGTTCCCCTAAAAGTTACACTGTTTTTCTTAAGTCCATAAAGAAAATCTGAGGAGTTTGTGTCAAGCTGTGAGCTCATCTTCCCTGTCACTGCCTACCTCCTAACAAGGCACAGTGACAGCCTCCATGGTGCTACATATGAGGGAGTGTGGAATGAGACCCAGGCTCCTTTGCAGGTGAACGCACACAGGAAGCTCACGGCCCAATGGGGAAGCACGTAGCACAGAAGAGGATGGTTCAGTCAAAGCTGAGGGAGAGCTCAGGCATAAGGAAAAGCCCCCAGGAGATAGCCTGGCAAGCATTAGAGCCTGGAGAGAAGGCTTTGGAACAGAGTCCCAATAGGAAAGCCCTACAGAGCTGAAGAAGGGTGTCCAAGTGAGGAGACAGGGATAAGAGGCTAGGATCCAGGTTTTCCCTCACAAGCCTCTCCAGAAAGTCAGATTCACTTCTCTCAGCACTGAGCTGGGGGCAGGATCAGTAAAGTGGAAACCCAACTGAGCCCAGAGCCAGGCCTCAGGCCTGAATCATCAGCCAGGGGAGCAGCAGTGTCCAGGACAGGAGGGCTGTTCAGTGGCTCCAACTCCTCTCTTGAACATCTTATGAGCCCCTCACTTTACTCATTAAGTTACTATTTGCATAGTCATGCCCCACTCTCCTGGCAAATCTACTTCCCCACTATAAAAAGAAATAGCATTCCACAACCACCTCACTCTGACTTCAGGGGTTTTGAGACACCCAGAAGGAAAAACTTCTGAGGGTCTGTGTCAGCCTCTAGCCTTGGACCCTGCGTGGGCCAGACTTTGCAGGCCCTCCTTGCTGCACCACACCCCACAGCCCATGCTGTACTTCCACTCCACACTGTAAATACCACATTTATTTGTTGGAGGGTCTCAAGCCTCCAGTAAGGACAGAACAGCAGGGCTCTCCCACATGCTGCCCTGGGTTCAGCTCCTCAAGCATGCAGGATAGAGCTGGTGGATGAGGTCAGGCATCTTCAGGAGCAGGACCATCAGAGCAGCAGTTCTGTCCCATGACCCCTCCCACTAGCCTGGTCTGACCTGCCACCAGAAGGTGGGCCCACCTGGCCCAACTGCAGCAACCTTTTTTGGCCCAACTGCAGCAACCTTTTTTGGGGGTTGCCTTTCCTCCCCCTCCCTACCCTTTGATCTCCTTGGAGCGCAGAGCCTGAGCCATGTGCTTTGGTCCATCCACAGGTGCCACGCGCGCTGCCTCTGTGCCTCCTGTCTCTCCAGTCAGGCTGTCAGCTGGGTAGGTCTGGCTCTCAGCTTATCTTCACTCTGTGTAGCCAGCTCAGGGCTGGGCACTCAGCTGAGACTGAAATAAGCCAAGGCCTGACCAGAGAACCACTATAGATCAACGTGCAAGACAGGCCAAATCAGCGGCCACCAGATGTCTCCCAGCCTCCCAGGCTTCTGGTTGGGCCTGGAACTTCCGGTCTCAACTTTCCATGGCCCGAACCAATGCTTCCTACCCCAAGAAGCTCTTCTGGCTTGGCACCATGCTCAGGGCTAGGTGAAGGTCAACCAAGACTGTTACTTCAGGGCCCTGAGGACAGCCTCCAGCTTCATGGCCACAGCTAGGTCGCCCTTCACTTTCAGTCGCCCACTCATGTAGGCCCCCAGGGGCCGCAGCTCCCTGCACAATAAGGCCCAAAGGTCTGCTTCTGACATCTCCACCACCACGTCAGGGATGCCATCAGGTGCCCCATGTCCCACTCTGCCTCGCCCTATGGGGGAGGAAACATTAGCATTAGTAAAAGGACAGCCTTGGGGGACGTCAGTATATCCCATTGGGACCAGTAGAGAGTAGTGGTTAGATCAGGTTCTAGTGGTAGGGGTGTGGCTTCAACATGCTCAGGGGCCTGGGCTTAATTCCCAACACACACCCCCACACACACACACCCCCCACACACACACAGAGCTCAAGTTATAATAGTGGGTTTAAGTCTTACTGATTGTGTGACTACTTGTTGCCTCCATTTTAAAATCTGTGAATTGGGAGGATGATAATCCCTACATTACAAACTCACAGTGACAAGTGGATGGATAATGCATAAAAAGTATACAGCCTGGCACGTAATGGGCCTACTAAGTATGAGGGCTCCTGGTTATCTGATTGCACTGTTCTGTTGACGGCAGGAAGACCAAAGCCCAGATAGGCATTACAGGTTCATTCTGAAGAGTTGGTAGAAGCAGGGAGTCATCTTAGAGGGACCACTGGTAGGGAGGGTATAGGCAACCGGAGTGGGAAAGGGAGGGCAGGAAGGACAACCGCACCTGCAGTGAGATCCAGGAAGTAGGTGCTCTGGGTGCCACTGGGCAGGATGACATTGAACTGGTAGCAGGCCCCAACCTGGCTAACCAGAGCCTCAGACAGAGAGGGCTGCAAGGCAGTCAACAACCCCTCAGCCACAGGCTGCTTCAGGCTGGGCCCAGCCTCAGCACCAACATGAGAGGCAGAAGGCTCCACTTCGCTCACCATCTCCAAGGTATCTGCTGGTGGCCAGTGGGGTTGGGGAGGGAGGCAGAGAGCAGGTCAGTATGCTGCCAAGGTCAGGATCACTCCATCCCTTTTGTGAAGGTTCCTTTTATATCTGTCAGTCCTCCTCTGCTAGGAAACTGCCCCAACCTTCCAGAAGACATCCCCAAAGCACATGTCTAAACTACCCCAGCTGGAACACACAGCCCGCTTTCCAGTTACTCTTCCAGAACTGCTGCTTCTTCCCACAGAAGCTGTCTAGGGCCCCTACACACTCCACTTGGACTCCTCTCCATGTCCTAGCTCTGGTCAGCTCTGGAAACGGGGTAGACTGAATCAGTTCAGCATAAGGGCTTAGCTAGGGGGACAAGAAGCAATGGTTTCTGTCTGCTGAGCTGGTGAGCACTCCATACCCCTTACCTGGTCCTGGGGGTGGAACACCTCCTGTCATGGAGTTCATGCCTCCCCCTAGCAAGTGGAGAGCCAATTGTTGGAGAGTGCTGTCCAGGTTGGGCATCACTGGGCTATCCTGGGGTGGCTGCAGCACGGCTTCCACAGCCAGTTCCACACGGTCCACCTCCAGTCCCCAGGCCCTGGTCACATCATTGATCTCCAGCTGGAGGACAGCGAGGGAAGAAATGGGGAGTCACTAAAGAATCCCCCAGCATCTTCTCTGGGAAGCCCACAATGGCCGCACATGGACCTGGAGGCCCCACATCCATGCTGGAGAGGTTACCAGCTGGGAATACAGCAAGAGGTGCTGACAGGCTGGATGGTTACGTGCTGAGGCAGGAAGGAGGAAGGTGGGAGCTCCAAGCAGAAATGGAGGAGGGCTTTCTAGGCAATAGGAATGGCAGGTACAAAAGCCCAGAGAGGAGACTAGAAAGTTCAAGGAATTGTAAACAGCGATAGTCCCATTTAGACTCTGAAGTGGGGCTGGAGCACTAAGTGAACTGAGAGTTCAAGGTAGCCTCTTCCTGGTCAGTTAGATTTGTTCTGAGGCAACAAGGAACCCCGGAAAGGAATTTAGACCTACAGGTGGCCAAGCAGACTTGCTTATTGTAGAAAGACCCTCCTAGCTTCTGTGCAGACACTACTGAGGAGGGCTGAGAGTGGAGGCACTGTTTCAAACTATAGGTAAGAGATGAGGGGTAGAAGGGACTGGCAGAGGGGTGTGATGAGGCTGAGATGCACCACAGGAGGCACACCTTGCAAATTCTGCCAGGTCTGAGCAGTGGGGGAGAGTGGCAGATGCCTGGATGTGCAAGAGATATGTGATGGCACAAGGGTTGAGAAAGGCAGGTGCCTGGCATGGGTTCTTGGGGTCATAACAGTGGCACTCACCTAGAGAGGGCACACACGGGTAGCGAGGAGAGATTACAGCTATTTTTTTAATACTGTCAGTTCAGAGTATCTATGGACAATCAAGTAAGCATCCAAAGGATAAAGGGGAACAGTGTTCTGTGAGCACCCAGCACCCAGAGTGTGTCAAGCCCTGGAGTGAGCTCTCCCAAGGAGGTCACAGATGAGAGGAGGCCAGTGACAGAAACCTAGACACCGTACGGCAAGCCAAGGGGAAGAGACAGGGAGAAGGAAAGGGAAGAAACAGAGGGAGGGGGTAAGAAGAAGAAAGGGAGGAGAGAGAGATGGATCCAAGAGGAATGCTGCCACTTGGTGAAGTAGGGGAAGAGGAGAAACAACTGACCAGGTTACTGTGAAGACAGTCAGAGCTGCCTCTGGAGTCTGGACTAAGCCCAGACTAAGGACAGAGCAAAGAGAACAGAGCTTTCCAGAAGAAAAAGAGAGAAAGGGGTGAGAGCTAGGGGGACGAGGCAAAAAGAAGCCATGTTTCCCTGAAAGGAGAGGAAGGGAAGGAGGAAAGAAGGGAGGGAGTGGGAAAAGAGGGAAGAAGGGAGTGGGGAAGGAAGGAGGGAGGGAGGGAGGGATCTCTTGGGGAAGGGCAGGACCAGGCAGGGCCAAGTGCAGGAGAGAAGCAGGAAGCTGGAGGTTAAATAGCAGAGATGCAGGGGGTGTGAAGGCTCAGTCCTGGAGTTTTCTGTCCGTGAAGAGGCAAGGCTGTGGCAGACAGCAGGGATGGGGAGGCTGCAGGAAGGCAGTGGAGGGCTAAGAAGCAGCTAGCTAGAGTGCAAGTGGAGAAGTGGGGAAGTGGCTGGTAGCTGAGAAGGGAGGCCTCAGCCCCTATAGATGAAAAGTGGGCAAAAGGAAGTGAGAGGGAGAAGCACACACTCACTTGAACCAAAGCTGGACAGGGGAATGCAGCTCCAGAAGTGTCCCTTCAGCCCCTCTGCCAACAGTCAACTGCACCTGAGCAACTGACCCTAAGTGACTCTTACATCCTAGATGGACTTCCTCTAAACTGCCTCTTTCACACCAAAGCAACAAAAGACTGAGGTTGATTCTTCTCTTCCTAAAGAAATTAATTATAATGGGATGCACCTGTATGAAGAAAATCTGTTAGAAACTTATTACCTGAGTTGTGTTAGACTGAGCACTGTTATTATGGGGAGGGCCCAGATGGTTTGGCTTTGGCCCAGCTCTGCCCTTGACCATGGCTCTTAGAGGCAAGTGGAATAATTGCTGGTTTCTTCCACTAAAATGAAACAGTAATACTGGCCCTCTCAGAGCAAAAACATGAAACTAAGATACTCTGGGGCAGGTACAAGGTCCATAAGCCATAAAAAGCTGGGCCAGGGGCTAGGGGTATGGCTCAGTGGTAAAGCGCCTGCCTAACATGCCCACTTCCTTGGGCATCCCCAGTTGGCACTGCCACAAAGCAAACAAAACAACAACCACTATGCTGTGAGGACCACTATTACAATTGAAAACAGTATTTCAATAAGAATTTCACCAAACTCCAGTGGGGATGCTTTTCAATTCCTTGCTGAAGGGACCAGGGGCTAGGATTTATCCAACTTCACCCACATTCCCCAAAGAGGACCAACACAAGGGAGGAAGCACAGGTTGGGTATGGCTGGGAGGGACATGCCACTGCAGGTATAGTTATTTCTACCCCACCAAGCAGCAAAAAGGAAGTGAATTCCAGTGTACCTAATTTTTTAATACATGTGGAACAAGGCCAGGGAAAAGATCCAAATGTCACGTCTTTGTTTTGTTCTGAACAAGGAAAATGGTCCACAAAAATCATACACACAGAAGTCACCAGAAGGTAGCTGGACTGGGAGGGCCCTGCTCCTCTCACCTGCCAGGAGGAGAACTGCAGAGAGCCCCTGAGGTCTAGTGTTGTTATCACAGAAGCAGTGAAGGGTAAAATCAGCATTCAGGAGTACAGCCCCAAGAATTTATACCAAGCACTTCTTGGGGACACGTGCTCAGGATGGGTACGGTCTGGGATATCTTCTGTTCCTCAACTCAGGGGCCCCACCTAGATCCCTTTTGGATGGTTATACTCTTAGGGCATATGGTAAGCCAAGGCCCAGAGCAGCCTGGTACTTGCCCAAAGCAGCCTGGAAGGGAAAGCCAAGACTTGCCACCAGACTCATGAGAAGTCACGTACCAGGAGCTGGTCGCCAATCTTGAGCTTCTCCATCTGGATCTCCCGCAATGGCCTCCTGAGTAGGGTCTTGGTCATGGCATTATGAGCTGTCATGCGTGTAGCCATGTTCAGGTCCTTCACAGCCATCACTGACAGCACTGGGTCCCAGATGCGGAATTGGACGTCTGCCCCCACGGATAGCACAGCCCCGTCCTTAGAGGTCAACTGTTTCGGAAGATTGTGAAAGAGAGGACATCCGAAGGGTCAAAGGTTCCTGAGAGATCATACTGAGACCACTTAGCTTGACCACTTAGCTTGACTCTGGCAGCTAGCTCTTCAAAGGCAAATGGTGTCTCCAAGTAGGTAGGGTCAAGTATGGATCAAAGATGCCCTCCTGACCTCCACTAACTTCCTGATTCTTCTACCTACTGCTCACAGGCCAAAGCCCTGGTACCCATAATACACCATGCACAGGTCCCATTCCTTCTGTGCAGGGCAGCTGAGAAGCCCCTCACCTTGCAAGGAGGTACATTGAAGGCTCGAGTCCTCAGATCCACCCTCTGAAAAGAGTCGATGAAGGGGAGGAGGAGAACCATGCCAGGCCCCTGTGGGGTGCGGATCCGGCCCAGTCGGAAGACAATCATTCGTTCATAAGTGGGCACGATCTGTCCACAAGGCAAAGGAAAGGGTCTGGAAATGGTTGGCTTAGGTTGGCCAATGTTATTTGCTAGGTCTCTCTATCTTCTCCCCCTTTCACCATGCCACAATCAAGTATTCTCGTGTGTACATGTGTATATACATTTCTATGTGTGCATGTATATGGAGGCCAGAGGTCCACCTTGTTTAAGACAGGGTCTCTTGCTGGCCTGGAGCTCATTGACTGGCTAGGCTACCTGGTCATGGAGTCCCAGGGATCCACCTGTCTCTACCTTGCCATGATGGGATTACGGGTGCACACCACCAAACCCAGATTTTTTTATTTTTATTTTACCTATATAAGCGTTTTGCCTAGCTGTATGTAAAAACACCTGTGTAGTACAATGCTCACCGAAGTCAGAGGAAGGCATTGGATCCCCTGGAACTGGAGTTACACAGGGTTGTTAGCTGTTGTGGGGGTGCTGAGAACTGAATCTGGGTCCTTTGCAAGGGCAGCAAGTGCTCTTAAGTGCTGAGCCATCTCTTCAGCCACAACCCAACTTTCAGGTCCTCATACTTGCATTTTACTGAGTTATCATCTAAGTCCCAGTATCCTTAAGTTATGGCATGAACATGAAATTTAACCCACAGCCTCATGTATTGGGTTTGGATGCTTGCTAATGGGCTTTGGGAAGTGAATGGAGCCTGGAGGCCCTGATCTAATCAATGAATTAATCCTGTGACAGTCACAATGTAATAGCATTATTGGGAGGTGGTGAAAGTAACAGGTGGGGCTTAGTTAGAGGAAGTAGGAAGTAGTTACCAGGATTGAGTCCTCAGTGGCTGTATTTTAACCTGACCTCTTCCTGTTTTCCCTTTTCTCTGCTTCCTAGCTATCAAGAGATGAAGTATTTCGTATCATACACTGCCACTGCAATGTTCTGTTCAAACATGCTGGGTCAAGCCACCAAGGACTAAAACTTCTGCAACTGTCCTCTAAATTGTTTGTGTTAGATATTATGTCACAGCGACAAAAAATTAACACAGCTACACTTAGATGAGAAGACTCAGAGAGATTAAGCTCAGAAATCACATACCCAGTGAAAGGGGTATGATTTGAATGCAGTTCTCACTAACGACAAAGATGTTAGTCACCACAATGTATGGACTTGATCCTCAGAGAAACTTAATCACTACATGACTCATCCTAAGAAACTTACTTGTCCTTGGATTAGATGGGGAGAGGGCTGGGCTGTTCTAACAGCATCCTAAGCAAAAGGCTCCACCAACCTCAGATCCCTGGAGCCCTTCAAGACACAGCTATGTCCAAATTGAGAACTGAAGGCCAGGGAGGTCAAGTCCAGGGTCAAAGGGCATTTCTTTCAGTGGTATTAGAGAAGTGGGATCTAGGTTTACCTAAGTATTCTCTCTCTCTCTGAGAGAGAGAGAGAGAAAGAGAGAGAGAGAGAGAGAGAGAGAGAGAGAGAGAGAGAGAGAGAGAGAGAGAGAGAGAGAGAGAGAGGAATCTGACTTTCTAGAGACACTGGCTGTTGCCTAGAGCCACACAAACAGGAGGCCTGCCTGGGCTTCTCAGCTGAAGCTGTCAGGTCTGGGGCTCAACTGCAACTCATCCTTTCTCACCTGCACCATCCTTGTGTGAATGAGGCCTGAGATCCTGCTATGCATTATTTGCTGGGGCAAGCTGGGTATTTTTCTTTCTAATTGGGCCTGAGCCAAAGGTCAGATGATTTGGTATCTCTCTCCAGATCCCAGGACTCAGTTGTTTGGGAAAACTTATTTCTACTCCTTACTAGCTCCCAGGATGACTGTGGTCAAGTCTGGGCCTCAGTTTACTCATCTGAAGAATGGGAATTAACAATCCTTTCCTTGTCCATTTCATTGAGGTGTGGTAACATTTAGAGACAGGGGGATGAATATGGGGAATCCATTCATCAATGCCAAAGCTTTCATTTCCCCTAACCCTCCCCACCCCTACAATATCCAGCCAGCCTTACCTTCAGAGCAAACCAGCCAGAAATGGGGAAGGTGATCATCAGCAGCAAGAACCCCAGGAAACTGATGAGGCCATGGCAGAGGCAGGAGGACCAGCTCTGGGGTGCATCTGAGGGCAAAAGAGCAAAAGCAATCACAGGACACCAGCTGGGCCTGGCAGGACAACTTCAAGTACAGTGTCCTGTGAGCACAGTGGGTCAAACCTATGTTCTGCCTGCCTTGCACTTCAGAAGCTCCTTCTGACTCACTTCGGCTCCTTGGCTACTTTCCCCATAGCTTTGGACAGATGCTAGTTAGGGACCACACAGCATAACTAATCTGTCCCAAGTATAACGCCCTCACTAGGCATTATTCTCTCCTAACAGTCACTGAATCTGACAATGGAATCTGTGTGATGTTCTTTCCCGACAGAGAAGTGAATGCTGCTAGTGTAACACATTCCTCTTCTGCCAACAGGCCCAGAAATATGCTTTCAGGGGCTCCGTATGGATAAAATGCCTTAGCTGACAAGAATAAGACAATAGTTGATGAATAAGAGCCACAGGTGAGACTAAGATATCCCTTTCTAGTTCTCATCCCCCATTTTAATGCCTTAAAATAAAAATTTTAAAAATGTGTATTTTAATTCAAATAGTTTGGGAGCAAGGTTTGGGAAGAAGAAGCTTAAGTGGAAGATCCTGACCACTGGAGAACTAGGAATCAAGGGCACCCCTATAACCCCAGATGAGCTTGTTCTGTGCTTTCCTTCTCCCAGCCTGGATAGAAAGCAGACAAAAGACTCTGTTCCATCCTCCAGGAAGTCCATGCCTGCAGGGCTTTCTAAGCCCCTATCTAGCTCCTGGCCATTTCTAGAAAGGAATCCTTGGTTAGACGCAATCCTAAAACCAGGTCGAGGCCAGCCTGATCTATAAAGCAAGTTCCAGGCCAGCTGAACAGTGAGACCCTCTCCAAAACACAAAAACACCACAGTCATCAATGTCAAAGCCTTCCATGTGGTTGTCAGTTCAGGAGGACCAGAGAGGGTCCAATTTCTCCAAGGTCAGGCTGAGGAGTGTCAGCCAAAGGAGCCACATAAGACTTGACAGAACCAGAGGAAGCGCCGGGGAGCTGCAGGCCTGCCCTTTTGTTCTATGCATCTTCATCAGCACACAAGACGCCTGGTTGCTACCCTAGGGTGGCTATTTTTCCATTTCTCTACAGGTGCCTTTAGGATGTTAGTGGTTTCCTCTATCTAGGACTCGGTTTCTTTCCAAGCACAATGGGAACCTGAAACCTGTATCTTTTAAAAGAAAATGTGGGGGGCTGAGGTGCGAGAAGATGCGGGCTACACTGGCTCTGGGGTTGCAGTCCGTGGACCTAGCAGAGCAAATCAGCAGATGCACCCCAACACCCGGTCTGACCCCTCTACACATCCTATCCCCTTCGCGGTCCTTCCTCTTAGAGGCAGAGACTGCACCAGTGCCCCAGGATCCGCCGTGCTGGGCGGCCACTCACCAGCCCCCGGCCCCACGCCGCCCTGCTCTGGGGGCAAGCAGCCCTTCTGCGAACCCAGAAAGCCGAAGTTCGACTGCTGGAAGCGGTCAAAATCGCCCAAGGGCAGCGCACGATACCCTGACCGGCCGAGCATGACTTGTGAACCGGACACGCCCCGAGCCTCAGTCCCACGCCGGTCCTGCCCAGCTAAGCGCGGCCCCGCCCCCACCACAGCCCGCCCGCCACTTCCGGCTTGGCGTCTGCACGCAGAAGCAGGAAGCAGGTCGGGTCCGCGCCGGCAGTCCCACAGCGCCTCCTGCACTGGGAGGACCGAACTGAGGCCGCAGCGCGTGGGGGCGTGGCCTGCGTTTTGAAGTCTGAAGTCTCGCCCACCTTCCTGTTCTCACCTAGCCTCAGAAAGAGGAAGTTCAGGAAACCTTATCCCCAGAATCAAGAAAATATTATCAGCACTCCCTGTACAAACACACACTGAGTAATGTGCTTTATCTAGATTTACGGTTTCTTCATGGCAGGGTCAGCAAATTAATCTGTTTCTACACAGCACAGAAAACAGCCTGTGCAGGTCTTTGTGCTTATTTCTTAAATGATGGCATAGCCAGGTCATTGTGAACAAGGTAGAGTTGGAGGGCCCGAACTTTGGTACAAAAGAGAAATTCCATGTGCAGACACCTCAGGGAATAGCAGTGTGTGTGTGTGTGTGTGTGTGTGTGTGTGTGTGTGTGTGTGTGTGTGTGTGTGTGTGTGTTATGTGATAGTCGTGGTGGTGGTGGTGGGGGTACCACAGAGCTATAAAATGGGTGGCCACCAGAGCATCACATCAGACTCCTTGATCCAGCTACTTGAGGTAACTTGTCTTTCCATGGCCTTGGAAAATCCAAATGAAGATAGCAAATTTACTCCACAAAGTGTTAATAGGATGGTGGGGCAGGCTGGTAGGAGGCAGTCTTACAAAGCAAGCAAAGAAATGAATGAAGCTTTCCCAGCCCTGCCTCCCAAGGGCCCTGTGGTAGCTCATTTTCAGGTCCTTTCTGCAGCTGGATGTCTGTCATATTTAGATTTTCTTAGCTTGATGGCCTGATTTTAAAGACTCAGGAGTAAGACCACCATGGCAGGTATGGCATACTCTCAAGTCCTCTCAGTCTTTGGGATATTGAATCTCCCCATCAGCATCTATCCTCACCCCAACTTTCCTTTGCAAGAGCAGAGGCCTATTGCCATCCCTTCTAGTCTGTTCCATAGTAGAAGAGAATGTAGAATGGGTGTGCACTGGGGTCAGAGAAGTGGTTGGGATAGTTTGAAGTTTGAGCCAAGGGCACTGGCCCAATGAAACTGCTTGAAACTGTGTCTTTTCCCTCACCCACTGGTTCTGACTGCTTTTCATTGGTCAGGTGCTAACTTGCTAGCTTCTCACCATCTTCACCTCTGATGGCCAGCCTCTCTATCCCTGTTCTCTGCCACCTCACATTCACCAAACTTCCCTACCGCCACTCAAGGCACCACCCTGTTCCTCTTTGTTCACTAGTGTCTTCCTAACTGACTCGGGCCCTCCTCTGTATCCCACAGCCACTTGTCTTGGGCCCCTGTCTCTAGGTCATCAGAGGGGCTGATGGTATGCTTTGGTACCAAACCCTTCACCAACTCTCTATCACATGGAGAACTGGTCCTATCTTATGGCTTATGATAACCTCACCTCTGGGGCATCATTTCTGACAAGTTTCCTCTTAAATCTGAAAATGACCCCAACTATTTCTCAAGCAGGCTCTCCTGTTTCGAACCTCCACTCATTTTCCACATGCTCTTTCTCAGTGTCAACCATCCATGAGTTCCTGATGAATGCCTCCCACTCCCTTCATTCCCAGCTGAGGGTTGCCTTTCCAGCCAGTCCTACCCACTGCTGTGCCAAAGTCTCCATTTGGGGCGACCTGAGGGTTGTCTCAAAGAGGGGCCACATGTAGTTCATTTTTGTGCCTGGCTCTTGGCTGGATGGGCACAAAGCTGTGAGCATGAGCTCAGGGAAGGAACTGGAACTTGCGAAGGCTTCTTGTCAGTCAGCTCTGCCTCTTCCCAGTGTGCGTGTTGTGTGTGTGTGACAGTCTTTCCTTCTAGCGCAGTCTGATCTTGAACTCGGGATCTTTCTTCCTCCGCTTCCAAGGGCTGAAATAACTGACCCGTGCCACCGCACTGGGCCGGTTAATTCGCTCCACCCCAGGTCAGCTGCGCCTCTGCAGCTCCCCAACCTCTCTCCCCTCCAAGATCTGGGAAGAGTGTCTACAAAACCCACTGCCAGCCTCTCCGCCCCTAGACCCGCCCCAGCCCTGTCTCACTTCCTCCCGGGAGGCGGGTCCTCGGCTGGTACCTCCCCGCTGGACAGCTCAGTCAGCTCAGCTTTCTGGCTGGTGTCTGGGCCTCTTCCCGCTCTCTCAGATCCAAACCAGGAATCGAAACTGCAAGAGGCTCTATGCAGAAGGCGGACGCATCCTCCCGGTCTCCCAGCCTTCAGCAGGACCCTGCCCTGCTCCTGACGCCCACCATGCCTCCCCCGGAATCCCCCTCTGAAGGCCATGAATCCAGCCGCAGCCATAGCCCCGCAGAGGTACTAATGGACTTGGGAGTGAAGGGGTTTAAGGGTTTTGTTAGTTCGTTTGGTGGTGGAGTTGGAAAGAGAGGGTTTTAATGGAGAACGGTGACTTAGTGTCCTAAAGAGTTTGTCCTAGAGAAGGCCAGCTACCAAGGTCCTGACCCTCCTGGATGGGCATGGGTGGGGAGGGTAGGAGAGAACAGAAAGGGGGACCAGGATGAGCTGCCGGGGGGATGAGGATAGTGGGTTACTCTGGGGTGAGCATCCTGCCTTAGATGAAGGACCACAAGCTAGAGAGAAGGACAGGAATAGGTAGACATGTCCTGCTGGTCTGGAGCTAGGGCATGCCCCAGGCATGGCAAAACCACAAAATCCATGTTCTCAGCTGGTGTGATGGCACATGCTAGTAATGGCAACATGGGGATGTAGAGGCTGGAAGATGGTGACAAGTACTAGGCCAGCTTGGTCTATAAAGAGTGTTCAGAGCTGGTCAGGGCAAGACCCTGCCTCAAAACAAACAAAAACCCATGTTCCCAGATTGGAAGTGAAGAACCTTGGCCACAGCAGAGCCGTGTCTTGGCCAAGGCAAGGCAGCTTGTGTGGCTTCTCTTAAGGAGGCCTAGTTTTTTGGTCCTCCTAGAAGTTTTGCTCACCCCTAAAGGAACTGCACTTGTTCTGTGTTCTTCCAGGCCCCTTTCCCCTTTCATGAGAGCACAATCAAAGCCATATTGCTGCAACTTTTATTTATTAGCATTTTGTAACTAATAATATTACTTAATAATAGTCAACATTTATGAGTGCTTTTCGTGTACTAGGCACTGTATTGGGCACTTTTGGAAGGCGTTTTTCTGTTTAGTTGTGGTAGTGAAATACATACAACGTAAAAGTCACCATGTTAACCATTTCTAAGTGGACAGTCAATAGCATTAAGGGCATCTCCATGTGGTGAAGTTATCACTGCCATCTATTTCTGGAACTTTTAATTATCCCATAAACTCTGAACCCTCGAAGCAATAGCTCTTTGTTCTCCAATTACTTTTGGTTTCTATGAACTATACTATTTTTTTTTTTTTTGAGACAGTCTTCTTGTAGCTCCAGCTGACCTAGAACTCACCATGCAGACCAGGCTGGCCTCAATCTCATAGAGGTCCATCTGCCTCTACCTCCCACGTGCTGGGACTAAAGGTAGACTATTCTCGATATTTCATATAAATGGAATCATATAATGTGCTGGTTAGTTTCTGTCAACTTGACACAAACCTAGACACACCTATGAAGAGGAACCCTCAACTGAGGAATTTCCTCCATCAAATTGGCCTGTGTGCCTGTCTGTGGGGTGTTTTCTTGATTGCTAATTGATGCAGAAGAGCCCAGTCCACTGTGGGCAGTGCCATCCCGGGGCAGGTGGTCCTGAACTGTATAAGAAAGGTAGCTGAGGGCTGGAGAGATGGTTCAGTGGTTAAGAGCCCTGGCTGTTCCTGCAGAACACCTGGGTTATCCCAGCACCCACATGGTAGCTAACAATTGTTTGTAACTCCAGTTCCAGGGGATCTGACGCCCTCTTCTGTCCTCTTCAGACATTAAATGACACAGGTGCACTTAAACACATGCAGGGAAAACACTCATATACATAAAATAAAAATAAAAATAATTTTTTAAAAAAGAAAAGTAACTGAGCAAGGCAAAAGAAGCAAGCCCATAAGTAGCATACCTCCATGGTCTCTGCTTCAGTTCCTGACTCCAGGTTCTTGCCTTAGGCTCCTGCTCTAGCTTCCCTCAATGATGGACCCTTTCCTCCCCAAGTTTTTTGGCTATGGTGTTTATCACAGCTACAGAAAGTAAAGTAGAACAGATAATATTTCTCCTTTTGTGTAAGGCATGTTTTGCTTAGCATAGTGTCTTCAGGTTTCATCCATGTCGTTGTGTTTCAGAATCTCATTCCTTTTTAAGGCTGAATAATATTCCATTACATATGCAAACTTATTTTTTTATGCATTCCTCTGTTGGTGGGCACTTAGATTATTGTGACAATTGAACCTAATTCTGCTATGCATATTAATATACAAGCATCTGCTGGGATTTCTTTATTCAGTTCTTTTGGATAGTATATATATTCAGTTCTTTTTGGATACACACACACACACACACACACACACACACCTAGGGGTGGAATTTCTGGGTCACTTGGTAGTTCTAAAATGTTTAACTTTTTAAGGACTCCCCCCAATTATATTAAGCACTTTTTGTTGTTGTTGTTTGAGAGAGAGTCTCCCTGTAGCCACAGCTGGCCTGGAACTTGCTATGCAGACCAAGCTGGCCTCAATCTCACAGAGATTCAGCCGCCTCTGACTCCCCAGTGCTGTGATTAAAGGTGTGGGCCTGGCAAAAATGTGTATCACATCTGGCCTAGAACTCCTGATCCTCCTGCCTCTGCCTCTTCAGCACCATCAAGTATTAAAAACCTTATATGAGGATGGTATTTAGTATATTTACCCTCCAAACATGAGTTCCTTGAAGGCAAAGATGTATCCTATTGAGCATTTCAGGGCCTACTAGCAAGTTTGATGGGAAGTAGATGCTCAGTAAATTGTGTGGTGAGAAGCCCAAGGCCTGAGTAAGTGAGGGGCTGGGATGCTGATAAGCCAAGGCTTTGCATGATCTAGTGAGTGGATGGAATGGAATGTGAGGTCCCACCTACTACAGCCTCCAGCTAAAGGGATGGGTAGTCAGTGGGGAACAAGGCGTCTGGGTTTTCCATAGACCTCACTTTCCTCCTTTGGCTCCCCAGCAAGCCATGGAGGAGGAATTCCAGTTTCTACGCTGCCTGGACTGCCAGGCCCAAGCCAAGTGCCCCAAGCTTCTGCCTTGCCTTCACACGCTGTGCTCTGGATGCCTGGAGGCTCCTGCCCTGCAGTGCCCCATCTGCCAGGCGCCCCAGCCGGCTGGTGATGATGCAGAGGCTCTGGACAACGTGTTCTTTGAGAGCCTGCAGCGGCGCCTGTCGGTGTTCAGGCAGATCGTGGACGCGCAGGCTGTGTGCACCCGCTGCAAAGAATCTGCGGACTTCTGGTGTTTCGAGTGCGAACAGCTCCTATGTGTCAAATGCTTTGAGGCACACCAGTGGTTCCTCAAGCACGAGGCGCGGCCTCTGTCCGAGATTCGAGGCCACTCAGTGCGCGAATTCCTAGACGGCACGCGCAAGTCTAACATCTTCTGCTCCAACCCCAACCATCGGACCCCGACGCAGACTAGGTGGGTGGACAGCCCAGGGTGGGGTGGAGCATCCCAGAGCCAGGAGGAGGAGGGGGAGACAAAGATGCAGTCACCCGGCGTCGGACAAGGGGCTTCAGGGGCTCTGTCACTCAAAGAGGTTCACTGACTTGCAGAATATGTGGTCATAACCCAGTTTACTTCACCCCCCTCGACGCGCATGGATGGTAGTAGTTTCTAATGCTGCAGCCCTACCTAGTATCTCTTTAGGACACAGTTTTTAGAAGTGCCATTGCAGGTGAAAGGGTGTCAAAACATATTTTAGTACAAGTCGCGAACTTTAGAAGTCTTAGGGTGGGATGTTCTTTCTTGACGGGAAAGGAGTCTCAATAAGGCTGATCAGCTGCAAGTAGGTAGTGTCTTGTCTGAAAACTTGAAATTGCAGCACTGGGCAATGCTGTCTGAGAATGTGTACATGGGAAAAAAAAAAGGAAGGGAGGGAGGAGGGGAAAAATGAAAATTCACTTATAATATTTTATTTTGAGACGGGGAATACATTTATATGGGGAATACATTTATACAATTGCATTTATATACAAACAAAACTTTTTTTTTTCAAAAAAATCATTCACTATGATCAAGTAGGATATATTCCAGAGATGCAGGGATGGTTCAACATATGCAAGTCAATAAATGTCATAAATCATATAAATGGACTCAAACACAAAAATCACGTGGTCATCTGTCAGATGCAGAAAAGGCCTTTGACCAAATTTACCATGCATTCGTGATAAACATCCTAAAGGGAATTAGACTGGGGGAGCAGAATTAGACTGGGGGAGCATACTTCAACATAATAAGCTATATACAACAAACCCATATATATTTCATTTATTATTTTTTTAACAGAGCATAGGGTAGGGGTTTATTTACAGAAGAGTGGGTCTCCCACATTTACAGTTGCATCGTGAAGTCCACACCACAAACAAAACTTGTACTAAGTAAAGGCAAGAACGCCCAGTATTCCATTACCATTTGCCGAATTCCCACCACTCTTCTTCCTCCACTGTTACTAGCTTCCAGAGTTTCTTTTAAGTTTCTTTGTGAATGTATACACAAGTGGGATAACCTTATAATGTTTTGGTCCCCTGTTTAACCAATAAGGTAGCATATAAAAAGTGAAAGTTTGACCACTCAGAACTTTTGTTTGTATACAATGTGTGCCTCCCAATATGTGCCAGAAGTTCTTAGGGATCCACAGGCAATAGAAAGTTGTCTGCTCATTCCTGACACCCTGACACCTGCCTTGCTTATCCTGGTAACTTACAGTGCCTGCACTTCAGGCACTCCCTCCCTCATTGCCCCCTTTCTCCATTCCTCAACAGCTTACATTATTGCTTAATTTGCATTTCCTTTGTCATTAAGATTGAATGGCCCTTGTATTTCCTTTGTGAATTGCTTGTTCAGACCCTTTGTGTGTTTTCTTTTTCTTTGAGAAATTAGTCCCTTTAGACTAATTAGAGCTGTTAGAGTGCAAATGTCTGTTCTCAGGCCTGGCCTGTATCATTTCACTTAGAATATGGTGTTGTTTTAAAAATAATTGTTTAGTTTTATACAATCAAATCCATCAACTGCTTTCTTTATGGTGTCTGGCTTTGACTCATCCCAAGGAAGATCTCATGCCAAAATTAAAATAATCTCCTGGGGCTGGAGAGATGACTTAGCAATTAAGAGCACTTGCTCCTCTTGGAGAGGACCTACGTTAGGTTCCTAGTACCCATATGGCAACTCATGAATGCTTATAACTCTAGTTGGAGGAAATCCATTACCCTCTTCTGGCCTCCTCAGGCAATACATACATGTGGTGCACTTACATACATGCAGGCAAACTGCTCATACACATAATCTTTTTTTTTAATAGCTTAAAAAGAATGCATGCAAAAAACCCTCCTATATTCTATTTCGATAATTTAATGATTTTGGAGGCAGTGGTGTAGCTTAGTGGTATAGTGTTTACCTAGCATTCTTGAGGTCCTGGGTTCAATCCCTAGCACCGCAAGAAAGAAAGAAAGAAAGAAAGAAAGAAAGAAAGAAAGAAAGAA